TTCTCCCCCCCCCCCCCCCCCCCCCAAAAACACTTGTGGGTTCAGTGAAGACATTAAACTCACCTAAATAACCAGAATATCCTATACCTCCACATTTTCACTGTATTGAAATGTTGCTTACTTTGACTCATATGAAGTGTGAGAGATATTAAGAGAAAGACGAAATAAAACTTTAGAACATTATACTTTTCTCTATGTGTATTTCAGAAACTGCTTTCAGATATAAATGAAGTTTTTATATTAAATATGTTTAAATAAATCTGATTATAAATTTGGTATGATTAATTAGGCAAGTTGTCTGTCAAAGGAACTATACAATAATAAAGTTTTATTACTTTTTAAAGTCTGTCTGGTTGTATTAGTGTATTTAATCCTCTCACCATATCACTTTTTGTGACGTTACAGACAACAGGATTTTTCAATTGTTTAAAGTGAAGAGTAAGAAACTGAATTCAGTTTGTGATCGGTCTGAGACAGAGGTGAACAAAATGAAATGGAAAAATTAGTATTTTATATTGTCACAGAAGTGTCACATTTATTCCTAAATTTTTCACAGCTTATCAAATTTTTTTTTCATTTCAGCCGAAGAAATAAAACCACAATGCATACCAAATATGAAATTGATGAGGGGTTCTTTTGACGCTTTTTCCCTTGTAAACCACACTGTGTTGTTACATTCCTTTAAAAGAATTCCTTTCAAAGGGAATTTGCAGGAACAAACACTGCTGTTGCCCCATATTTCATCAGGAACACAAGATGAAATGTTACCACTGGCCACGATGGTTTGTTTTTCCATAGGAAAGGTAAATTAAAACAACTGAAATCATCTCTGATTTCTAAACCCTGATATAAGATTTTATGGCTTCTGTCCTAGCCATAGTGAAAAAAGTGGAGAACCAGGAGAGCACAATAGACTAGACTAAGCCAAAAAAAAAAAAAATAAACTTGTGAAAGAGCTTTGAGTAGATCTTTTCCCATGACTCATACTTCCAAAGACATACTCAAATACCAGAAAATTACTTTTGAGATGTAAGAGGTAATGACTATACACTTTGAGACACAAAACTTTTGGCAAGAGAGAGCAAGATGTAAACACCACACACCACTTTTCATGCTTATAAAAACTGAAGGTTTCTCACCAATTCAATATAAGCTCTACCTGCACTTGTCAATAGTTAATTTCAAACCACAAACAAGGGACAGCTGCAGTTCAGTGGAAGAGGTCTCCTACATCCAGTCTTGTAAACACACTTTTAGGATACTTAGACTGGAACCAAAATCCCGTTGGCTTTAGAAACCATACCTCTGGGCAGGGAGATTTGGCCGGCTGGTACAGATTAGAAAATGGCACCAAGGGGGTTAAAAGACGTGTTTGTCAGTATCACTCTAAGTTTGTGACCTTCTACACCTTAAAGCGTAGGAGTGGCTCGCTCTTCTGGCATTCAGTCCTCAAAAGCGAGGAGACAACTCAGAGACATAAAGCAGTACTTCATGCTATATGTCAATAGGCAAAGGTTACATCACTGGACAGTCTTGGACATGTGTTGCAGCAAATGAGGATGAAAATGAAAAAACAAGTGCCAGAGAGAATTAACTGTATTGCCATAGATTTCCTCACATGAAAATTTTGCATTGAGGTTACATATTTTCAGGCTAATTACAACTATATTTTACAATTTTAAAATACAGATTTCATAACAAACCACAAGCAGATCTGCATTTTAATATGTTACTGGAGATACCATATGAAAGACAAACAACACACCACAGCCCACTCCTTTCAAACTGAGCCTTCCAAAAACAGTAAGGGCTTGGAAAAAAGACAATTTACCCTGGATATTGTCAACTAATGCAGAACTATGCTTGTTTAAGAGGTAAACAAACAGCTCATATAGTTACAAAAACCCCCTTCCAACTGCAAACTGTTAATTAACGTAATGTGATCTTCTCGAAGGTGAAGACACACTATTACTGCGCAAAGCTTCACCATACAGATGCAAAATGAAATTAAGAGGATGGCTTGGTTTTGCAGCTGCTGATCAGAACCTGATAACAGTCACCATTTTCATGCAGCTGCTCTTAGAGGGGGAAAAAAAAAAAAGCAGCTATGGGCAACAGATAAGAAAGGAACTAGTCTTGTTCAAGAGGAAGACAGACACAAATTACAGAAGTTAGAAGAGGAGCAGAACAGCACAGGTATCATCCCCATTCCACTGGCAGATGCCAGACAAAAGCCAGCTCTCCAAAATATGAGGGGGATAACAAAATGCACAATGCCCGACATCTAGATGAACAGAGTTAAAAGCAAACAAGCAATACACCAACTTCACAACAATCCAAAAGTTAAAATCCCAAGCGCCTCTCTAAGATGTTCATGCCTCACAGTTACTGTCTCCCAAATTCTTAGGAAGTTCTGTTTAGCTTACACAGCAAGCCTTGGGTACAGACACTCCCTTCCCTGCAACACCACTGGGGACACATCCAAACAGGTGCTCTAACAACAGCCAAGCCTCTTTTGCACGCTTATTTGAGCGCACACGAACTAGTGGCAGAACTCTTAATGCAAAGCTTTGTCTGACGCAGCATGCTGTTTCTGAAAGGCTTAGCACAGATTTCTAAAGAACGAGCATAAGATGGGAGGTGTGAATGATGCTGCCCGAGTATTTTCCTCAACTCCAGCCACTAGAAATTTAGCGATGCCTAAAACGTGCATGCCCAGAACCATAGGCTGCACCTAAACCCATGTAAATAAATCCTTATCCCCCATGGGATTGTGCAATTTACTTTTGAAACAACTAGGGTTTTGTCTTTCAAACTATCTTTTTGCAGTAAGTTCTGCAACTTAGTACTTCACTTTCTTCACCCCTTTCATCACATCCCTTCTGCAGCTTGATTAGTCCCAGTCTTATTTATCCTTTCTTCTTTGAGAAGCCAGCCCAAGCCTGACATTCTTCTCCACGCCTCTTCCTGTTCTACTGCATCTTGGAACAGGGTCCAGAATGGCACACAATATTCAAGATGGAGATCAATACTGTGGAATATTCAAGCCTTCTCTTTTGTCCTCTACTACTTTTCCATAATAATTTATAACAATTTATTTGTTTGTGGGTTGGTTTTTTTTTTTTTTAAACTAGCACTGAGCAGGTGTTTGCAGAAAACTACCCAAAACAAACCCAATGCCTTTTTCCTGAGCAGTAACACGTAGTCAGGAACCAGTCATTGTCCAGGCACAGGTTTATGTTTTGCTACAGGCATAGTTTTGCATAGAAGTCTGTTTTGTCCCCTCCTCACTACTTGGCATTCATCCACACTCAAAGTAATCTCTCATTTTAATCACTAAATCACTCAGTATTTTCAGCTACATCTGCAGGAGCCCCAGGGACCCTCCCGCCTTTCCTGTACCCTCACGCACCAACCGTGTCCTCTCCTACACTAAGTGACGACACGGTTAATAAGAAGCGTTCCACTTGAATAAACAAACGAACAAACACCAGCAACAACAATTCCTTAAAGTGTTAACTGCAGAAATAACAATGTAATTGTAACTGATTACAGCTCAAGTATCCGAGAGGGAAAAATATGATCTGCAAAACTGATTGGGGGGTGGGGGCGGGGGAGACATACATAGATCAGTGCTAGAAGTTGTAATTTTTTTTTTTTTTTTTCAAAAGTCCCTTCTATACTTACACTGCTTTATAGTCCCCTGTATATACACGCCGCAAGACTTCACGTCAGTTGTCCAGTGCAGGTTGCCTTACGTTCCTTTTTTTGCCTATGACCAGTGGT